ATCTGCAGCCCAGACTGCATCGCTGGCAGCCGCATTCAGCATCGGCATCCTGCTGTAGCGAGATCGCAACCACATCTTCATGCGAGAGCTTCCGCTCTCGATGTCAGTACTATGGGAACCCGTGGATCCATCTTGCCAACCAGTGCAGTGGTCCATTGGCGGTGCGTAGCGGAAACCGAGCCGTTTGACTGCTGCCCCCGATGATTTCCAACCGTCGAAGACGAGGAACGACCGTTTTTTTTGATGTGTTGCTTGATCACTCTGGACATGGGTTCTAAACCACGAGGAGTTCCTGCAGGTGCATGTTCGCGTCGGGGAAAAAAAGCAAACCTCACCTTCTTTTTGCCATTCTCGTGCGTGTAGCGCTCTCGCCCCTTCCCCACGGTTGCCGCCATCCACAGCCACTTGGCATTGATTCTGGGCCCTTTCCTCGCAGGGCGCCTGAGAACCGCTGCTGGTATCCGAAGGATGCCCGCAGCGGCGGGTCGCTTCGCCGCTGCTGGCCGTCGAAGGACGCCCGCGGCAGCAGGCTTCTTCCAGATGGTCCGCGCTGGCAGCTTCTGCGCAATTCGATTGCGCCGCACTGGCTTACTGTCTGGATTATTCACTCGATGCCTGTCGGTGCGTGTTGCGATGCCTTTGTGAACGCCCATATGCGTCCCGTCGAAGACCACAACTTCGCCGGCCCCGCCGATGATTGCCCCCTCGCCCAGTATCATGGCCTTGCGAAGGGCGTTCTGGTAACTGTTTTTTCCCAATCTCGCAGCGTGTGCTTGTCGTGAATGTTGTAGCCGTCCTGAAGCTCGGACTCAATGGAGATAAAGCGGTCATTGCGACGAAGCCCGACTACCAGCTGTAGGAAGGTTGGCCACAAGTGAGGCGATATACTTTTCAGCGGGCCCACACCTTTTACCACTTCATCCACGTGCCCGATTTCCCACCATCGGGCACCTCCAACGGAACGTCATCGACATGTGTACATATATAGACACACACACACATATATATATATATATATATATATATATATATATATGTGGGTACCCCCCCAAGGACCCTCCACTTTTTTTCACTTGCATTTTTCTGTATTCTCCGCACTGTACAAGCGGTGCACTCTCGCCGCGCTGGCCCCCGCGCTGCACAAGGGAGGCATGCGCGATGCGCGATCAGAAAATCAGCTAAAACGAAATGGTTTATAAGCACCGCCATGGGAATTAGCAAACGATTTCATTGCAACTGCCATTGATTTCCCCGAGTTTACATAATGAGCATACCCGGCTAGATCAGGCAATGACATCTGCCGCTCTTCCTCACAGGGCTCGATATCTTGATCTGCAGCCCAGACTGCATCGCTGGCAGCCGCATTCAGCATCGGCATCTTGCTGTAGCGAGATCGCAACCACATCTTCATGCGAGAGCTTCCGCTCTCGATGTCATTACTATGGGAACCCGTGGATCCATCTTGCCAACCAGTGCAGTGGTCCACTGGCGGTGCGTAGCGGAAACCGAGCCGTTTGACTGCTGCCTCCGATGATTTCCAACCGTCGAAGACGAGGAACGACCGTTTTTTTTGATGTGTTGCTTGATCACTCTGGACATGGGTTCTAAACCACGAGGAGTTCCTGCAGGTGCATGTTCGCGTCGGGGAAAAAAAGTAAACCTCACCTTCTTTTTGCCACTCTCGTGCGTGTAGCGCTCTCGCCCCTTCCCCACGGTTACCGCCATCCACAGCCACTTGGCATTGATTCTGGGCCCTTTCCTCGCAGGGCGCCTGAGAACCGCTGCTGGTATCCGAAGGATGCCCGCAGCGGCGGGTCGCTTCGCCGCTGCTGGCCGTCGAAGGACGCCCGCGGCAGCAGGCTTCTTCCAGATGGTCCGCGCTGGCAGCTTCTGCGCAATTCGATTGCGCCGCACTGGCTTACTGTCTGGATTATTCACTCGATGCCTGTCGGTGCGTGTTGCGATGCCTTTGTGAACGCCCATATGCGTCCCGTCGAAGACCACAACTTCGCCGGCCCCGCCGATGATTGCCCCCTCGCCCAGTATCATGGCCTTGCGAAGGGCGTTCTGGTAACTGTTTTTTCCCAATCTCGCAGCGTGTGCTTGTCGTGAATGTTGTAGCCGTCCTGAAGCTCGGACTCAATGGAGATAAAGCGGTCATTGCGACGAAGCCCGACTACCAGCTGTAGGAAGGTTGGCCACAAGTGAGGCGATATACTTTTCAGCGGGCCCACACCTTTTACCACTTCATCCACGTGCCCGATTTCCCACCATCGGGCACCTCCAACGGAACGTCATCGACTTTCCCTCTCTGCTGCGACTGCACATCTTCGCTGGCTCGTTGCACTGCGGGCAAGCCTTAATCATTTTCACGAGACCTAAGTGATTCGCGAGTAGGACGCCCAGAGCGCCAGGACAATCTGGGAACCGACTCGGGAAATCGACGCTGCTCTGCATCGCATTGGCGACGCACGATGTGCTTGAAGAGAAACAGTACTCGCATGTGGCTTTCTGGAAACCATCAGGTGTAAGAGGGGCGGATGGCGGATGAACTAATGGGAACTGTTGTAACATCAAATGTCCCTACGTTTCCAATTCTCTGCGGCCGAACCCTCGTTGATGTGGCAGAGAGGAAACGCTGTAAAATCCAATGTTCCCCATGCTTCCCATTCTCTGGGGCCGAACCTTCGTAGATGTGGCAGAACGAAGACGCTGTAACATCAGATTTCCCCTGTTGTTCAATTCTCTGGGGCCGAACTTTCGTTGATGTGGCAGAGATGAAACGCTGTTCGGCCCCAGAGAATTGGAAACAACAGAAAATTCTGATGTTACAGCGTTTTCTCTCTGCCACATCAGCGAGGGTTCGGCCCCAGAGAATTGGACACATGTGAAAAATGATGTTATAACGTTTTCTCTCTGCCACATCAACGAGGGCTGGGCTTCAGAGAATTGGAAAAATTTGAAAAATTGGATTATACAGCGTTTCCCCTCTGCCGCATCAACGAGGGTTGGGCCTCAGAGAATGTGAAAAATTGGGAAAATTGGATGTTGCAGCGTTTTCCCCTCTGTCGCATCAATGATGGTTCGGCTCCAGAGAACTTCCATACTTTCTGTAAGTGGTGCTTTCTGGTGGCGACATGCAACGGCCGCCGAAGTAACCCATTCAAGCTCACATCCGCCCAAGATGAGATGTGAAACGAGGTGGAGGGTCTTTGGGGGGAACCCATACATATATACACATATATGTATGAATCTCTCTCTCTCTCTCTCTCTTTCTCTCTCTCTCTCTCTATATCTATATAAACGTATATATATATACATCGATGGTTCGTCAGCTGGGCTGCGGGTTCAGTGGCCGGCCCAGGTATTGGTGGCCGGCCGTCTCGTCTCCCGCACAGTCTCCCCGTATGGTCTATTTCTACGGAATCCTTAATGGTGCCCTTTGATCGTCTCTTTTCCCTGTGGTCCGCCCCACGGTCTCCCTGGTGTATCTCTTCTGGCTTCCCGCTGTGGTTTCCCGTGTGGTCTTCAAGACGCTCTCCGTGCGGTCTCCCTCTTGGTCTCCCTCATGGTCTCCGTATGGCATCCGTGTGGTATTCCTTGCGGCATCCCTTACTGTCACCCTTGTGGTTTCCGTCATGGTCTTCCTGTGGTGAGCCTCGCGGTCTTCCGATGGTCTCACTCATTGTCTTGATCTGGTTTCCCTCATTGTATTTCTTTGATATATCTTCGGCCCTCCTTATGGCCCCCCATGGAATACTCATGGGATCCTTGTGATCTCCCTTATGGTCCAGCGGAGTCTCCGTCATAGTCTCTCTTAGAGTCACCATTAAGGTTGCCCTGTGAAGCCTGATTGTGTTGGTGGCCTTATGATGCCCCCATATAATGTTTATTCCCCACGTCCTACACCCATCACAAAACTGATGAACACTCATCAGCTGCCATCGGCCCCAGATCTCGCTTAAGAAAGTCAGGAATCTGGTTTGGAGACGGGGTACCTTCTTAGAGCTTTTACCGTGGAATTGTTGTAGATTTGGACCTCGACTACTGTGTAAGAAAACGCTTGAAGGAAAGTCTGCCTTCTTAGTCGCGAAGTCTCTGAACTCTAAATATGTGTGCTAACGGGGTGTTCGTTTTCTCTGAACGCCCTGCGCAGGAACACCCACCCACATTCCATCATGATCATCGGTCATCGGTCACCGATCATCATCAGCATCAGCATCAGCAGCATCAGCATCAGCATCATCATCAGTATCATTGTCAGCAGCAGCAGCATCAGCATCAGCACATCATCAGCACCAGCACCAGCACCAGCATCAGCATCAGCATCAGCATCATCATCATCATCATCATCATCATCATCATCGTCATCATCGGCAGCATCATCATAAGCAGCATCATCAGAATCATTGCACACACTCACACACTCACTCCTCACGCACTCACATATTCAACTTGAAGAAGTCTCGAGCGGGAGCCTCGCCCGTGAGTGAGTCGCGAGGAAACCTCGAGCCGGAGCCCATCCCTGTGCGGTCCCCACCTACATTATCTAATGCGAGCGAATCATCCAAACCCTATAGCTGTCATCTTTTTGGGGCTCCCGAGGTCTGTGTATGGAGGAAGCCTCGAGCGGGAGCCTCTTCTGTGAGCGAATCGCGAGGAAGTCTAGAGCGGGAGCCCGCTTCAGACGGCCACCCGAAACTCCATGAGGCTTCAGGATTTCCCAGGACGCTCCAGGAGGCCCCAGGAGACACCAGAAGCCCAAGGAGGCCACAGAGCAACCAGGAAGCTTCAGGATGCCCCAGAGAGCACCCAGGAGGCCAAGGCCCAGGAAGCCAGATGATGCTGTAGGAAGCCTCAGTACGCACTGTGAACAAGCCCAGGAGGCACCAGAGGGCGACAGGATGCCCCGTGCTGCCACAGGCCTTGGGGTTGAGGGCCAGGGCCCAGGACCCCTTTCCTTCCTGTCAGCAGAAGTTTGCGAGGGCACTGCTCCGTAG